CCCCAAAACCCCAAAACCCCGTGATGCATATTTAGGTGCAAAGTAAACAGGTGAACAGTGAAGTTAATTATAAGGGTTAAATAAGAAGAGAAAGTATTATCTATCTATGTGGACTTGCGTCCATCTCTTCTGCAGAGATCATCTTCTTCTGTAGACCTGACCCTTTCTGGCCTTTATTCTACCGTACTTCTTTCTCTCTACGTTTCTCGGGTCGTGGCGCATCAGCTTGAAGTACTTCAAGATCAAGCGAGTCTTTACGTCGTAATTCTACAGAGCCTTGGCGATTGCAGGCACGCATGCTTCACATTAACCTGTAGTACCTCCTCCGTGCACCCATATATCAACATCCAAAATGCAAGTGTATCTAGTCAGAGTGAGAGGTAGTAGGATTCTGTATCTCTAAGAAGCAGAGTGGAAGTAATTAAGAATGGGCTCTCCATTGACGGTAATTGTGCCCTTGCCAGGCTTGACTCTGGCCACAGCTCTACTGCTCTTCCTCTTTCCGAAGCCCCAGGCACGGCCCTTTACATCAAGCTTAGCTTCACGCTCCTTCTAAGCGAGCGCTCTACGGAAGTCATAGAGATTAATGCGGTCGAACTTGACGAAGTCGTCTATCATGGTTGGACTTGGTGCGAATGGCTGATTTATCCAGAAGTCGTCTGACTCTTCAGCGTACTGCCTCAAATGGTTCTTCAAGTAGTGCTTGAAGTAGGGGTCTTGCTTGAAAGAGTTGAACAGCGTAATCTCGTCCCTTTCATCCTTAGTCAGTGCTGAGTACGAGTGGTCTCTCTGAGCGTCTTCAAAATCTACTCTTTTGAAAATATCTCTAATCTCTGTACCTACACCTTCTGGTAACCCATAAGCAGGATCTCTGTCATCGAAACCAAACGCTACAATAGTGTTACACAATCCTAATTAACCTTACTTGGTGAGAGACCATTATATGTATCAAAGAGTCCCTTGGTCCAGTGGAAGTCAAAGCTAGTGTAGTCCTTGTTAACCTTCTTCAAGCCCTCGCCCTTCGTGTAGTCATGAAAGGTTCCTGTCCCTCCCTAGTCATCTAGGATAAACTTATCTAGCATTCTACCGATATCTTGGAGAGTTGTTCTCCTGTTAACATTTTAAATGAATTTCTCTCTCGCCTTGTCTCTGTCGTTGTAGAAGTCCATGTTGTTGTACATAAAGTATGCTCGGCCATTAACTGCCTGATCATTAAGTTCAGCCTCCTATTCTTCGTAATGCAATTGCAGAGTCGTTGGAACCAAGAACTCCAATTTCTTATTAACGTAATGATCTGCTTTAGCTCTGTAATACTTCTTGATTATGTTTTCGTAATCCTCTACCAACTCTCCTGACTCCTAATCAGTGACCATTCTGTTCAGATTCTGCAACTGCTGGTGGTTCATACTGTAGAGCTTTCTGAACTCAAGAGGCAAGTTGCTGTCGATAACAGCAAACTAATTGTCCTCTATTATCTCTCCAGGGAAGTAAGCATCGTTTTCATTTAGGATGTCCTGAGGATTGATCTTACTTAAAGTCTTATTCAAAAGCATTTCAGCTTTCAAGCTCTCCATCTTCATGTCTATCTTTTCTCTCTCTTTAATTTGCTAGTACTGTCTGTACTGGTACATCTCAAACTTGTCCAAGTTTTTCATAGGCTTACCATCAACCTTTAGCTTTCTATGAGAGAAGTTCATTTTCTGTTCAATCAGGTTTTCTCTAATGTCTTTCATTGACTTTTAGTTGTTTATTTATATGTACTTTAGCCTACGTTAGATCATCTGTTCATCCAAATCCGTGTAGTCAGAGCTCAGGACATCATCATCAGATTTCTAAATCATGTTCTTGATTTCGAATTGGGGTGCAGGTATTACATCTGACTTGTATTCATTATAGAACTAGTAGTCGTAGCGCTCAAACACACGGTCTGCCTCCTGCTCTTCAAACTCTTTCTCCTCCTTAATGTCTTCGTACTTGAATCTGTAGTCTCTCGCCAAGTCCGGGTCTATATTCAAGATAGTTTAGAACTTGGCCTCTTCTTTGTCAGTTGCAGCAGCTGGGTGCTATGCAGCCATTTTATCGATTTCCTCTTTGCGCTGTTGATTGAACTTTACCATTGCAATCTTGAGTATCTGGGCTCTTGCCTGCTGATGATAGTCTCCGTGTCTCTTGGCCTCGAGAATGTATTTATTGCAAGCGAGAGCGTCTCTGTAATCCATGTAGCCAATCTTCTCGACAAGCTCGTTCATCGCTTCGTAATTCTTGATCTTCTGCTTATTCAATAGATCAGTCTTTTACTTGATAAAGTGGTCATAACCCACACCGTATGGTAGTTGGAAGGTATCTTCAATCTCGACCATTTCAAATGTGATTCCATCCTTGCTCTTAAGTGCTTTTCTCTGCTTCTTCTCTTAAAACTTCTTCTCTCCATCATGAGTTTATTGAATTTAAGCTTTGAGATCTTCGTGCCTCACGTGAGCGTTTAGTCTGCCGTACATGAAATTATCTGACATCTTATTCTTTTGAACTGCATTGTCTCTTATGTGTTCGTAATAGCGCTTTGTCTGATCTCTTAAGAGAGTCTCTCTTTACTTGGGATTAGGATCTGCCTCTGGGTAGTGAGGAGCAGGGTCGATACTGTAGATCAGATTGGGCTTGTACATGAAGGAAGTCGGGTCATACTTGTACTCGTGAGCCATTGTCTGAGCTCGGTTCATGTAGCGGGCGAAGGGCTGGAACTTAAGGCTGTAGAAGGTGGAAGCCCCCAAAGAATTGAAATTATGAGAAATCTTAAATAGTTTGGATGATAACATCATTTTTAACTATAAAATAATTATTATAATCACTCATTAATTTTAATATTCCTTTTTAATTACTATTATTTATATTCTTATGGGGTTTTGGGGTTTTGGGGTTTTGGGG